AATTAAACTACACCATTACAAAGAAAAACTTGGATCCAGCCCTTTTTATTAACATATTTATCCAGCTATCACCATTAAATTAACTACTTCCACAATAATAGAAGCTCCCCTATTCTGGAAGTAAACCATTTTGTTACATTAATAAAAATGTCTTAGCTGAAAATGACTTCTACCCTTCAACATATTTTTGTTTCCTAATTTTTATAGGTTGATCACTGAGGCCTTGAAAATACTGGAGGTTCGAGTAATGTGACGTCAAAAATATTAGTAAAGCCCAGACAACTGTTACGACAGCGGAATTCACGTGACGTTGGTAACCCGTGCTGATATTCTGTAAGGATCATGAAATTTCCTGACAACTCTAGTCTGTTTCAGGCGCCCTATTTTTTAGTATATAAGCCCGGCAAATAAAGCGGAGATATAATTGCAGATAGATAGATACAGAGACAGATAATTGAGTCAAGCGAGCGGTAGTGACGGCAATATAATTGCAAACGTATTGACAGTGGAAATTCTGTGTATTGCAAAGTTGTATTGAGAAGCAATAAACTAGTTTTATTCAAGAAATATGATTTAAGTGAATTAGATACATTAAAGAACAATTTACTGTCTTTTTACACTGGGAGGATATATTAGCCATGGACCTAGCCAACCCCAGACAACAAAGCCCCTTCCAGACCCTACAGCTAAACCCTAATGCAGACATCTTCAGTCCTGCCAGAAGTCACATTTCACACATAAATGTCAGCAAGTACAAAGGAAGCTACAGAAATTCGATGGGAAGGCACCGTGGGAAGCATATAGAGGATAATTTAAGCTCCTGACAGAAATGAATAGATGGACAGAGGAGCAGAAAGCAGTGTACCTGGTAACGAGCCTGAAGGGACAACAACTGGAAATACTTGGACAGTTGTCATCAGATGACAGACACACCTATAGAGCACTGGTGGCTGCTCTAGAACTCTGGTATGGAACTCAAAATCAGTCTGAAGTCTACAGATCTAGGTTTAGGACTAGAGTCCATACTAAAGGGGAGAACCTGCAAGAGCTGGAACAAGATTTGGAAAGTATGGCACACAAGTTCTATCCAACTGCACCACCCGTTGTCTTCAAGCTGTTGCTGTACCTATCAACAGATAGTCATTTACTAAACTTGTACCAGTCGTTAAACCACACATATAAGTAGTAACTTACTAAACTTGTACCACTCGTTCGACCATACATATAAATGGTACCTTACTAAACTTGTGCCAGTCGTTAAACCAGATATATAAATGGTAACTTACTAAACTTGTACCGGTCGTTAAACCATTCATATAAATGATAACTTACTGAACTTGTACAAGTCGTTAAACCATACATATAAGTAGTAACTTACTCAACTTTTACCAGTCGTTAAACCATACATATATATATATAGTAAATACTAAACTTGTATCATTCGTTAAACTATACATATAAATTGTAACTTACTAAACTTGTACCACTCGTTCGACCATACATATAAATGGTACCTTACTAAACTTGTACCAGTCGTTAAACCATACATATAAATAGTAACTTACCAAATTTGTACCAGTCGTTAATCTATATATATAAATAGTCATTTACTAAAGTTGTACCAGTCGTTAAACATTATATATAAATAGTAATTTACTCAACTTGTATCAGTCGCGAATCCATTGATATAAATAACTTCCTAAACTTGTACCAATCGTTAAACCATACATGTAAATAGTAGCTTTCTAGACTTGTACCAGTCGTTAAATCATACATATAATTAGTAACTTACTAAACTTGTACCAGTCGTTAAACCATACATATAAATAGTAACCTACTCCATTTGTACCAGACGCTAAACCATACATATGAATAGTAATTTACTAAACTTGTACAAGTCGTTAAACCATACATATCAATAGTAATTTACTAAACTTGTGCCAGTCGTTAAACCACACATATAATTAGTAACTTACTAAACTTGTACCAGTCGTTAAATCATACATATGAATAGTAACTTACTCCGCTTGTACCAGTCGCTAAACCATTCATATAAATAATAATTCATTAGACTTGTACGAGTCGTTAAACCATACATATAAGTAGTAACTTACTCCACTTGTGCCAATTTTTAAATCATATATATAAATAGTAACTTACTAAAGTTGTACAAGTCGTTAAACCATACATATAAATAGTAACTTAGTCCACTTGTACCAGTCGTTAAACCATATATATTAATAGTAACTTACTCCATTTGTACCTGTCGTTAAAATATATATAAAAATAGTAACCTACTCTAATTGTACCAGTCGTTAAACAATACATATAAGTGGTAACTTACTAAAATTGTACCAGTTGTTAAACTATACA